AACTAAAGCTTTTGTTCTTGTGTTCCGATCTGTGTTGGGAGCCAGATGAAAAATCTCTGTTGTTTTATTTCTCATAATTTCAACATGTGTAATAAATTAATGCGGGGTTTGTCAGAAATTCCTGAACGGATCATAACTAAAGAAAAAAATAAATAATGCTTTCGAAAAACGCATTTAAAACCATTTAAAACAAGTGTTAGACAATTCACAAATGTATCTCAACAAAAATAAATATTAATAACAGAAATGCAAAGAAATGAAATGGGGTTTAACGTCCCACATTTCTGCGCCAACTGGACTACTCTTTTTTCGACATCCGACTGTCAAGGGATCTTTTACTTGCACGCCAATGTTTTTCGTCCCATCCGAACGAGTAAACACTGTCCTTGCCAGCTCCTTCCGCCAATACCACTGAGGACCTTTCCAAGCCGTCCACGGGATCGACATTTCAGTCAAATTGCTCCACTCTGAACCGAGATATTACCTTTTGAATTTTAGGCCAGCCTCGATCATCATTACTAAAGTCGGAACGATAAAAAAAACAAAGTCTCGATTATCCACTTTTACGTTTAATTATTTTTTCAAAAACTGGATTCCAATCCGCTAAAAACCACAGTTTAGCGATGGCATCGAGAGTTGATTATGGTCTGGATAAGTTAATTAATGTCTAATTAATAATTTAGATAACATTTAAGACCTAGAGAAAGGCCTGCAATAGGCAGATTTATAGCTCTTACATAATGTATGTTTAATAGCGGGCTGGGAGTATAAATTCTATACCAACCTGTATTGAGTGAGGGTCGGAAATGAAATGGATCGGAGGAAACCCGAAGGCCAACATACACCGACTGGCACCAGCGTAAAAGAACAAAGAACCATTGACAAATGGAACTCCCTCAACACTTCCCTCTCGTTCATTGATAGAATATTAACACCATTTCAAAACTCTGGGTTCCATATTTGGATATACCGCAAGCTTACATCTGAAAGCCCCTAACCTGTCCAATCACTGACGAGTAGCGGTTTGTAATACCTTGCGCTCGTCTCTCGATTAGGATATTCCGTTTTATTTTATTAGCTGAAAGAGGTTGCGTAGAAAGATTATCTGCGATATTACTTCGGTGGAAGCGAACGTTAAATCAGGCTATTTCACACACGTGTGAATGGTTAATTCAATGAAATTTTTATCACTTTCATGCTCAGGAAACAAATATTACAAGGATTTTTTTTCTTTCTATATTTGAAAATGGAATTTATGTTAATTGAACGAATTTCTGTAAATTAGAGAAAAAACAAATACGGATAAAAATTTTCCTGGTTATTTTTGTTTCCGGATATTTACGTTTTTTCACGGATTGTTTTGTTACAGTGCACGGAAACAATCACACAAATCAACATCTGTTTTTTTCACGGAAAACTGCTGCCGGAACATTTTACGTTTTGTCACAGGAGTTCTGTACACGAAGAATCTGTTTCTTCTCGGAAGACTGTCTGTGTAAATCTGCTGCTGGATTTTTTGTCCGTTTTATCACAGGATTTCTGTAAAGGCAAAATGCGTTTTTCAGTAGTCTCGCCACATTTCCTGTTATTTACAACATCAAATTCAGTTAATTACTGGCAGTAAACCATCTTTGTACCGACTTCTAAAGAGCAACAAGACTTTCTACATGATGTCAAAGGACAATAAAATTTCGCATGAGGGATAGGCTATTTCTATGTAAAGTGTGATTCTTAACAGACTTACATGGTCTTCCACATACATAATCCCTTATATTATATTATATAAAAACATGAAAGATTATTATTGCCTTTTACATTTTCGGCACTCGACAACAAAATTAGTAGATTGCTACCTTGGATTTGGATACGAAGTAGGTAAGACGCTGGCTCGCTAGCCTGGAGGTCGGTTGTTCGATCCCTGTATTGGCCGACAAAGTTCATCCAGATTTTCCAGCGTGGTTCTCCCTTGTCACTGTCAGTGATGCAGGACGGGGAGCCTGACAAGGACAGCTGTCTAGTCGTTCGGATGGGACGAAAAACCGAGGTCCCGTGTACACATTGGCGTGCACGTAAACGATTCCTTGACAGTTGGAATTCGATATAAGAGTAGGCCACAGTGTCGCTGTCCGGGCAAAATTTCCTTCATAGCATACTGTATGGCGTATGCCCGTCTTCATTAGCCCGGTTTGGAGCAGAATAGTAGGACGTTAAACCTCATTTCAATTGATTTCATTTCATTTTCACTTCTTTCTCCGTCTGCATTGAACTCCTGCGCATGCATATTGGGTTAATAAAACGGATTTCCTTGAATTTTCTGGAATTGTTTCATATTGTCGGTCAGTACACAGAAGTGAAAAGTTTCTAGGCATTCGATCAAAACACAAACCTATCAATAAACAGAAACACGCGTTTATTGAATGAAATTCTCTCATGACGTGCGCATAATTATCACAGATAACGCGTAATAATACGTCAAAAATAAATAAATGGAAATTGTGTACATCAACACCACCGTTCTGTAATTTAAGTGAGTTTATCCCTTCATATCGCTTTTACATTGCGCCAATTACTGAAATTCCTTTAAACACAAACTAATAAAACATTTTAACAGTGTATACTGCTGAGGTATACTTATTTATCACTCGACAAACCTCGGCAGATTCCGTTACTCTACATCTGGCCTTGGCTATATGACGGTAAGTGATATGAACATACGCCTATACAATTGCGATGCGCCACCGATTTACTTATTAGGAAAACTTGCCACTTTTAAAAAGAAGTTATCAAAATTGCGTCGTTCGGTGCGTTTGTAGAATTTTCAGTGCAAAGTTGTCCTTGTTTGAAGAAAATCGGACTTTGAAATATTTGTATGATAAAACATTCTTCAAAGGCATCGTCATGGGCAACGCCATTGCGTAATCCATCAACTTGAAAGTAGTTCCTGCAATGGCGGACTTCGTCATACAGCCGAGGCTAGATGTAGGGTACTGGAATCTGCTGAAGTTTGCCGAGTGGTTATTTATGTTCAAAGTGTCTTTCATGCTAAATATTTACTTGTTTTGGTCCAGTCGACTGTACAGGCACGTGAACAATACAGATGGTAATCTCGTGCATGTTTATTTTCCTTTAATTTATCATGAACAGCAAATGATACAATTTCACAGGGATATATTACACCTTATAAAAGAAAACACCCCATTTTTAAAAATTTCAAATTGTACAAATTGTCGTCAGGCTAAAACAAAACTTGTCAAAATATAATGATTAATGGCCGAAGTGGTGAAATAATAGCCTGTCCCCTGGGGAGGGTTAGATCTAAATATTAAGGACATCTGTAGATTTCTTCAATGTCACGAGGGCTAGAGTTAACCCTAACCCTAGACCTAGCCCTATCCCACAATCCGCGACAACAACCATGAGACCGAACCCTGTTTACATCTCATGACCTTGACGAAATCTGCAGGTGTCCTTAATATTTAGATTTGACTCCTGTCTCCCCAGGGGATTAGTGATTAGCTAGAGAGGAATATTACAAGACGAGGTCATAATGTTTTCAGTTTGTCAAAAATGACGGGAACTTGATATCGGGCTTAACGTACGCTTCCACCAATGTTGATATCGCAGTTAAGAAATAAAAAAAGACTGTACTTAGAGAAATGAAATGAAATGAAATGGGGTTTAACGTCCTACTGTTCTGCTCCTATACTGGGCTAATGAAGACAGGCATATGCCATACAGTGTGCTATGAGGGAAATTTTGCCCGGACTGCAGCACTACGGCCTACTCTTATATCGAATTTCAGCTGTCACGGGATCTTTTATGTGCACGTCAATGTGTACACGGGACCTCGGTTTTTCGTACCATTCGAACGACAAGACAGCTGTCCTTGTCAGGCCCTGTCTTGCATCGCTGACAAGGGGGAACCACGACGGAAAATCTGGATGAACTTTCTCGACCAATGCAAGTATCGAACACCCGACCTCCAGGCTAGCGAGCCAGCGTCTTACGACTTAGCCACCGTTACCCCCTCCCCACGACCTCTGTACTTTAAATATAATATTTCTATACACGGTGTTTTGTATAATTTGTAAAATGTGTTTCAAATGACTTAGGCGCAGTATCTTTTAAAATTTCTATAAATAGTATCGGGTGGGGGACAGTGGTAATGCCGCCACATTTTCCTTGTCGCCCCGAATGCTCCTCGGTCCACGTGGGAATCAGGTCCGGGGGTCGGTACTGAACCTTAATTGTACGCGACAAGGAGTAAAGGCATTTGCTTAACCTCATAATGTTTCTCGCTATTCGCATGAGCGAAATATTGAAGTTGGATATAGTATACGTAACCTATTCTTTGATAAGATGATAAACCCTATCTCCCTCTACCTCTCTCCGACGTGGCTGGGGGCGGGGCGGGGGGTGGTGGTAGTCCAGTGGTTTAACGCGTGCGTGTTAGATATAAGGTTTGTCATTAAGTCAAGTGACCTGGTTTTCAATTATACCCTTGTACGTAACAAGGAGTAGGGTCACCTGTCCAACCTTGTGGGTTTTCTCTGGGTCCTCCAGTTTCCTCCCACTGCTAAAGACTAATACGCGCAAGCGAATTATTGAAATAAAATTGAGCCATATGTTAGTCCCGAAATCGAAATGACCTACTTTGTGTCGAGTGGACGTTACCCCCCCCCCCCCCATTTCTCTCCCTCTCTCCTCTTGTCCGTTCGCTCTTATAAATCTAACGAAAATCTAATTTTGTGCAGTGCAGATACTTCAATTATTTAACCAGTGTTCAGTGGTGTGTTTAAGGATATGGCTTCTAAAATTAAAATAACCGAATCGAGGACATAATATTATTTGTTTCAAATTATTGTCATAGTCGGGCTCTTAATACGATGTCGGGCGCTTAAATTGAGAATTTACAACCCCTTCAAATATTTCACTCTCTCCTTTCTTGTCGCTAGTTTACATATTTGCTCAAAGGCGATTCGGTAGAAGGAAAGCTTAAACATTGCATTTAACGCTACAGTTAAAAAGGTTTGGGACTTGGTAAACTCCGCCTTGTAGCTTTCTTAGAGGTACGTCCGTACCCCAGCGACTGGGGTGTCTGTATTTGTCCACGTATAGCGCTATCCCACGAGAAAAAGACCACAACGAGGTGGCCTGTTCATTGTTTTGTGCTGTAACACAGGATATAGTAGTATGAGTGAAAATGTGCCACTTGTCGGAAGTTGAGATTGAAAGGAGTAAGAACCAACTGTGAAATAATAGTCTTGCCTGTCCCCCAGGGGATATCACACATCTGAGATAACGAACCCACAGGAGAATTGACATAAACTGGATAATCAAAGCTTTGTTTTCTTTCAATCACCGTTGTCACGCCATTTGATTGAAAGGTTTGGATGAGATGAAGAAAAGATCTAAATGCGAGGAGTCTATCGATAACGGCGAAATTAGGCAGACGATCTTTTGATAATGGCGTAATGTTGTGTGGTTGATATTATGTGGTAAAAAAGATGGAATACACGTGGTTTGACATACACGATTGTTAATTGGAAACAGCTAGACATGAAGGTTCGTAATTCTTGTTATGATTATGATATAGAAATGAAATGAAATGGATTTTTAACGTCCTACTTTTTTGCACCAACCGGACTAAAGAAAACGCACATACGCCATACAGTGTGCTATGAGAGTAAAAGTTGGACCAGGCGGCGCCTATATAATTTGTGCTAATAATTTTGGATATATATATATATATCTCCAGAAATATTAGCACAACCGTAAAGCTGCACTACTTTGTTTCACGGTAAACGATGAAAAGATAAAAGGTATGCCGATAAAAACTGATTTCAACACTGGTTTAATAACATTTTAAAGTACTTTTCGTCCGTCTTGGGACTATTCATAAATAATATCATTGCATAAGATGGACAGTAATAGTATATTTATACATATTTACATAGTAACACTGTGGTTTATATTTATATATACGACTTAATCTTATTTCGAATTCCAACTGCCATGGTCAAGGGTTCTGGTACGTGTACGCCAATGTGTACATGCGGGTCTCCATTTTTCGTCCTATCCGAAAACTAGTCACTGTTCCTTGCCAGGGCCTTCTCTCTGCACCATAACCTATAGTGCCGCTGTGCGGGCAAACGTACGTATTATGGCGACCGGTGCAGAGACATAGCGCGTTACACCCCATTTCTGCACTGACTGGGATGGCGCCATACAGTCTATGATGGAAATTTTGCCCTAACAGCGGCGCTATGGCCTACTTCTATTCCAAATTCCGACTATCAATGGTTCTTTTACGTGCACGCCAATATGTACACGGGACCTCGGCTTTTCGTCCCATCCGAAAGATTAGATACGGTCCTTGTCAGATCCTGCGTCCTGCACCACTGACGAGGAAAAACCACGCCAAAACTCCCGAGGAACTTTCTCGTCGAACACTGGTTAGCGATCCAACGTCTTACTCACTGAGCCACGGCAGCGCCGGCATAGATATGATCAATGTGTGTCTTTCACATCATTTGTCTTTCAGAAAAAAGAGGTCCCGTGTACACAATGACATGCACGTAAATGATCCCTTGACAGTTGGAATTCGATATAAGAGTAGGCCGTAGTGCTACTGTCTGGGCATAATTTCTCTCATAGCACACTGTATGGTGTACGTCCGTTTTAATAAGCCCTGTCGGAGCAGAACAGTAGGACGTTAAATCTCATTTCATTTCATTTGATTTCTCTCACAATGTTTAACGTGGAGTGTTATTTTTATATGCTTCATCTCTTTTATAAAATTTAAACTGTGTACATTCTGTTTTATTTCTTCAAGCCAATATACTATAAAAACCACGATTAGGGCTAGTTAAATATTGCCTGAGAGCTAATTCAGTAAGATTGTATCCTTTTAAGCCCCCGGCACACCAAACTAGTTCTCACTACGTTCTGAAAAATTTTCCCACTCGGGTTCAGAGAGGAAGAGAGAGAAATGGGGTTTAACATCCACTGGACACAAACTAGGTTATTTCGGGACTAACACATGGTTCAGTTTTATTTCAATAATTCGCTTGCGCATAGGGTTCTTTTGCAGTGGGAGGAAACCGGAGAACCCGGAGAAAACCCACGAGGTTGGACAGGCGACCCTACTACTTGTCACGTACGACCAGGGAATCGAAACCCCGCTGGTTGACTCAATGACAGACCGTATGATATAGCACGCACGTGTTAACCATTCGTCCACCCAACCCCCACCCCTCGGGGTTCAAACTGTGTGCGTACGGACAATATTTACACACTCTACCCCGACCACAACCCGTTTTACGCTTTTCTAGGACAGGGTGGGACGTTGTTGAGAACTTGTTTGAACTTGTTTGGTGTGGTGGGGGCTTTAGCTGAGGACGGTTACGTATTTTAGTTTGGCAAGCCATATTTACTAAGTAAACTTGTTCATGTTTGACTCGTCTTTAAAATATATCCCTGTTATCAAAATAATGTTGACAGACAATGTTACATCTTGTAATTACGTCATTATGTCAATGCAGCGAGAAAGCTATGGTGGCTCGTGAGTAAATCATAAGCTCGCTAACCTGGAGGTCCCGTTTTCGATCTCTGCGTTGACCGAGAATGTTCATCGGGATATTCCGGCGTGGTTCCCCCTTGTCAGTCGTGTAGGATGACGGGCCTCCTGAAACACTCCACTAACATGATTTTTGAATTATTTGGGCAGTTAATTTAATACTGTGAACTGTGTTGGAGGGGTGGGTCTAATCCACCCCACCACCGCCTGAAACGTAAACATGAATGTCGAAAGCCTGACCCGAATACGCCACTTACATTACCAGTATAAATAATTTTCCTGATAATTTGAAATATATTTTAACAATCGGTGTGGATATTTACCTTACAGCAAAAAGTTCTTTTACATTTAATAAACATGCACGTGCAAGAATCAAAGAATCAGGACAACACTTCATGCAAAGACCATTTTTTTCCCATTAACGCTTTCCACAAATCACCCTTTCTATTGCATATTTTTTTTTTTTTTATCGATGCCACATTAAAATAAAATAAAAAAAGAGTAGAGCTAACGTATAAATCGATAGAACGTTAATGTTTAGAAGAAGTCCTTTCTTTCCTTTCACTAAGTGTTATTTTAATGAACAATAAACTAGAAAGAGTGTCTAATCTGTTCGTCCATCAATACGCTACGTAAATAAACGCAACGACATATCAGCGAGATTTACACGACTCGAGGCCTTCAAGTGTTTTTGATGGGTAAATGCAGTGTAAGCAACTCGTGCGGAAGCTGTAAAACTCCAATTATTCCATCTAAACATCTTCGTTTAGCACTTCCGGTGCATAAAACAAATCCATTCTTTATTTGAAGTTAAGCAATTAATCCGCACCTGCGGCCCACAATATGTATTCCATATTTGGAAGCCCACTTGACAAAAAAAAAAATGGCGGACTAACAGTGTTCGGGAGTACTGATCGATACGTATTTCCGGTTGTAAATTTGTAGAACTACTTTGATGTTAGTTATGTAAAAGTTTTGATAAAATCGACTAACCTGTTTGATTGACAGACCCATCTTCATTAAGAATTCTGTTGAGAAGAAAAGTGCCATATATGGCTGAGTTGTCGTGACCATTTTCATTAATATCCCCGCGCTTTTACGAGCAGTAGATTTCACGTGCAGATTGTAGGTTTATGTAGTCCCTAGTAACGAGTTGTATAAAAAAAAAACGACGTAATAATTATGGGTATTTGTCGACACGAAATAAAGACATTAATTGGTTCGATATGTCGATGTATTTGGGTACAAACCAAAACCCAGGCTAGAGATGTAAACGAGAGAGAGAGAGAGAGAGAGAGAGAGAGAGAGATGGGGGAGGGGGTAACGTCAATATTTAAACCCCACGAAGTTGGACAAATGACCCTACTCCTTGTCACGTATAAGCGGGGAATCGAAAACCACGCCATTTCACTCAATGACAGACCTTATGATATAAAGAGAGTAGGGACGTGATCTTAATTTCAAGTATTTGTATCATCAATAAGTTCTGTCTATTGGTTAGCTACAAATATAGTTCCCTCTATATAGAGTCTGGCTCTCTCTCTTTTATCCTATTTCCATGGCGATTTGTTGGTCTAGAATCGATGGGGAAATCTGTGGCCATACAGCAGTACTCATGTCTTCAGTTACACCTGTTCCATCAGGGGCCTAATTCACGAAAACCGAAACAAAAATGTTTTAAGGATTTTATTGGCTGGAATTTATAAATATTAGCTGATAGCGAATCAAAAGACTGCATTCTAAACAGATTTTAGTTTAAGTTTTCGAGAATAAGCCCCAGATTTGTACAAGGAATTCAGATTTTTGCAGTGTTAATAACCATCGTCCAACATGACTTGACAAATTGCACCACCTTTATCCGACGTGGTTCTCCCTTGTCAGTGATGCAGGACAGAGGGCCTGACAAGAACAGCTGTCTAATCGTTCGGATAGGACGAAAAACCGAGGTCCCGTGTACACATTGGCGTGCACGTAAAAGATCCCTTGACAGTTGGAATTCGATATAGGAGTAGGCCGTAGTGCCGCTGTCCGGGCCAAATTTCCCCCATAGCACACTGTATGGCGTATGCCCATCTTCATTAGATCAGTTCGGAGCAGAACAGTAGGACGTTAAACCCCATTTCATTTCATTCCATTTTTACACCACCTTTATAAACCTTGCTTGATAAGGATTAGAGAATCCTAGTGGAAACTTATCTCAGTTATAAACAGTAATTTGTATTCCATAGAATTACTGTCCTGTGTATTTCCAGTTCAATTACTAAATGACATTGAAAAAACTTTATAAACCTATCTATATTAAAGTTACAATTTCATATTTTCTAAGAAAGTCAAAACACAATAGGTTGTCAACTCACTGTTATACGTTCATAGGTGTCATTCTCACACTTAAAACTCATTTACACCGGAAATAATAACACAATTACCCCCCAATTACCTCCCTTGTTTTCTATTCTCCACCATGGAGTAGCTATCCTCAATCGTTTGAATTTGAAGAGGAAAATGGAATTTTTGTCAATTTCTCAACTTGCAATAGTGAATTATAGGATTAATAGGATTTTTCTTTAAAAAGGTAGGACTGTTTATAGATACCAACTATTTTAAGGCTTTATTTTAATAAATTTTAAAAATATAACGTAAAAATATGAAATTGCAACTTTAAACATATTGTCATATTTAAAGAAAGACTTGGCTATAGCATTATGTTTTCGTTCGTTCGTGGGGGTTAATAATTTTTTTTTATACATGTTTTGTCAGAATGTTGACTGATCGATGACAACAGACCAGGTTAAATTAGCTGATTGGCTGCGTGTAAACAAACCTTGTTATGTTTTTCTATGACGTATTATCTTTGTGACAACGTTAGAGTAACGTTATAGTAACGTGTGTAAGGTAGCTGGGTAGTTACTGTGTTTAGAGAACAAACAAAGGACTTTAAGAAATAATCAATATGTAAATAAACTCTATCTTTCTCTCGAGATTAATC